CAATTCTGTTGGCCTGGGTACTAGTTTCTTATCGGCTAGCTCTGTCTTAAGTATTAACCCATTTCTGCTGATCTATGTATTTTCACGTGTCTTTTCTTACCGGGGAGTGGGGCAGACGTCTGGTCTCCCCAGTCTCTCCATCTTGGCTCTCCTTACTGACTTCTCCCTCCTACTTCCTATTTCCTCCTTGTCTCCTAGTCCCTCCTATCTTCCTTTCCTATTGGCCAACAGTGCTTTATTCATTAACCAGTATGAGAAACATTTACAGAGTGGCATCTCCCATCAGGGCAAGCCTGTGTTACACCAGGCTTAGATTCCTTCTAAGACAGGATGTAGACATCTATACATTTAGTTGGAATTTAAGTCTTTGAAGCCATCCTAAGACAGAGCCCTTGAAGAGGACACTGAGTACAAAACATCCAGAAGCAAAGGGACAGACAAATTCTTAGCAGGAGTGTGACAATGGGACCCTTTGCTACTTTTCTAGGCTATTTGCTTGCATTTTTGTGTAACAGGTCCCCAGACCTTGGCACGACTGGCCCCATGATGGAAGGGCCATTTAGACCATAAAACTCAGCATGTAGACATTACCATTTGCCAAAATGAAAACAAAGACCTAATCCATCAAAGTCCACAGTTCTGGGAAAGTCTCTAAATGTACTAACCCTGTCTTTTGACTTCTGTAGTTCTGCTTCTGGCTAACTCTTCTTGTTAACTGAAATATGTCAACCCAGAACATGGTTTTTGTGCTTAAAATCTCTCCCCAAAAATGATTCAGGGCTACATTGGGATCCCCAACATCTAGTGTAGTTACTGGCTGGCTAATAAAGACTTCCTATTTGTTTAAAGCCGTGTCTGAGCAGTCTTCTCTGGTGGATACCCCACAACAGTTTGCTTGTTCATCTGTTTTCTTGTGGTACTGAGGATCAACCTAGAACCTCAGGCAGGCTGAGACTTCTCCACCATCAAGTTGTATTTCCATAGCTCACTTTACTTTTTATTTTGCAGTTGGGTCCCACTAAGTCTTAGGCTGGCCTTGTCTTTTCCCTATAGTAGAGGAGAAACAGATAACAAGGATCTTCCAATTCTGTATTATAAAGATACACATATACTCCATGTTGTAAAATGGACCATCCTACCCAAGAAACAGTTTGCCTCTTCTGAGTTGTCTGTTTGCCTGAGCCCAAACTTCGACAGAATGAGGGAAAGCAGAAGAGATGATGGGGAGAGAGACAGGAGGGCTGCTGATGAGTACTGGGTGAGGACTTACTAAGATTTCACTGGGTGCCTTATCTTTCCCTTGTGAAGCAGTGATGGGGGGGATCTTACACAGAATAGGGGAGAAGTTTCTTTAAATGTATATCGTGGGCTGGGGTGTTAGAGCTAGTGATAGCCTACATCTTTAATCCCAGCATTTGGGAGGCAGAAGCAGGTGGATCTCTGAGTTCTGGTCTAGCCTGGTCTACAGAGTAAGTTCCAGGGTAGCCAGGGCTACACAGAGAATCAGACCATGGGTTCAGTCCTCTGCATTGAGAAGTGGAGACACCATAATGTCTAATGGAGGAGATGACCAATAATGATTCTTCTTTTTCTTTTCTTTCCCTCCTGCCTTGGGCCAAGTAGGTTGTACAAAAGCAAGCCGACTTGTTCTGCCATGTTAATATTGTCATCCTTTGGGGTGGGGGGTGGGGTGGGGTTTCCCTATCACCTGTGCTGTTGCCCTTTTGTGCCTTGTGGTCATCTCATCATTATTAATATTATTCATTATTATATCCAATCATTGCTAAAAGGCAGATAAATGATTACCATTGTTGTGATTATTATTATTTGTTTTATTGGGGGTCGAACTCAGGTCCTCATACAGACTGGACAAATGTTCTTTCAAAGATCTATAGCCTCATCCCTGGAGCTGCCTCTTCCTCCCCTCCTCCTATGTCCTCTTCTTTTAATGGAGACAGGGTCTCAAAATAGCCCAAGCTGGCTTTGAATTCACTATGTAACCAAGGCTGGCCCTGAATTTCTGCCTCAGACTCCTCAGTGCTGAGATTACAAGCAAGTACTACCACAACTAGGTATTTTTATTGTTGGGACCATGCAGTCTTCTGAGTGCTAGAATTCCTCTTATCATAAGGATTCACTTGTGGAGATAAAACTGGCCAAACTAAAGCCATCAAATGCCACTGTCAACCCATGAATATCCTTTTTGTTTGCTTTTGTTTAAGACAGGATCTCACTGTGTAGCAGTGGCCTGCCTGGAACTTGCTTGTACACTAGGCTTGCTTCAAATTCACAGAGATCATCTGCCTCTGCTTTCCAGGTGCTGGCACTAATGTACAGTTCAGCTGGGTGTAGTGGCACACACCTTTAACCCCAGCACTAGGAAGGCAGAAGCAGGGGGATCTCTGTGAGCTGAAGGCTAACCTAATCTACATAGAGAGCTCCAGGGCAGCCAGAACTACATAGAGAGACTTAACTCAGAAAACAAACAAACAAAAATCCTAAAAACATTAAAAATAAAATGAAGTGTATGAGTCTATAGTTCTCAGCACTCTCACAAGGTTAAGCAGCCCTCACCGAGGTCTCAGAGAATTCTTATAACTGTACACCCTGTAGGGCCCCTTCCCAGACTCAGATTTCTTCTCCCAAGGCTGAGGCATTGCTAGTCCACCTGCTGATGTATCTGTGTATTGGCTTTCTCTGGACACTTGCTGCAAGTGCAATACACAGCACTGGTCCTTCCCCTCACTTAGCAGAATCTTCTGAAGGTCTATCCACAGTGTATGTAGTAGCACTTCATTTTTTTAGGGTTGAGTAACATCCTGCTTTGCCATTACATGACATTTGTTTATCCAGGCATCAGTTGATGAGCACGAGCTGCTTCCACCTCTAGGCTCTTGTGAACAACGCTGCTGTGCGTGTTTGGTGATGTTTATATGTGGACCTGTGTTTTCATTTCTTCAGGGTGTGTGCCTAGTTTTCTGTCCGCATGTTCAGCAGAAGGATACTTTTACACATTCAGGCCAAGATCCCTCTGAACATCCAGAGTACAAATCCTGACTCCAGACTTGGCAGGTGAAGCTGAAACTGTACCCGGCCACTTCATTCTTGTGAACACTCTGTGTGTGTGTGTGTGTGTGTGTGTGTGTGTTTTCTCTACCTGGTTTCAGGCACTGTACTGTAGCATGTAACGACACAGAACATTTTTTTCTTTATCTCAAATGTATTCTTTTTTATTATTTTTTACTTTCCAGTCCTAGTTCCCCCTCCCTCCGCTCTCCCTGTCCCTCCAATCCAGCCCCCTTCCCATCTTCTACTCCTCGAAGAGGGTAAGGTCTCCCTTAGGAAGTCTACTAAGTCTGCACGGAACATCCTTATCCTTTAGAATGCTCAAGATTCAATGTGGGAAATAAAGAAATTAAATATGCTGGTATAACTCACCCCCTGAAGCTTCCCACAGCATCCCAAGAAGGGCCAAACTCTACTCTGGTAGTATCCATTTATTTATTTATTTGGTTATTTGTTTGAAACATGGTCTCTTGCCGGCCATGCTGGCCACAAATCACTATGGAGCCAAATATAGCTCTGAACTTCTAAAACTGTTACAATTAAAATATGGTGTGTGTGTGTGTGTGTGTGTGTGTGTGTGTGTGTGTGTGATGGCATGAGTGTGGAGGTCAGAGGACTACTTTTTGGAATGTGTTCTCTCCTTCCACTGTAGGTTCCTGGGGTCAAACTGAGGGCATCAGGTTATGTGAGAAACACTTTTAGCAGCTGACCCACCTACTGGTACTATGGCCTTGAACTTCTGACCTTTCTGCTTCTACCTCAGAGGTGTGTGTGCCACTATGCCAGGTTTATGTGGGGCTAGGGGTGGAACCCAGACTTTACATACATGAATTAGTCAAGCACTCTATCACCTGAACTATATTCACAGCCCTATACATTAGTCATTTGAGAAAGGGTTTCATGTAGCTCATGCTGACTGTGAATGTGCTATTAGTTTAGATTGACCTTACATTTTTGACCCTCTAGCCTTTCAACTTCCCAAGTGCTGGAACTACAGTCTGACATCATATTTGACTATTTGTCATTGTTTGGTTCAAAAGGAACTTCTCTATTAACACGCTGTGATAATGCACATATAGCCCTCACGAGGTACTACAGAGGAAGGATTTACTGTGGTCTATGTGTCTTCCCATTTATGCCCATGTGGAGGATGATATATCAAAACGCCGTCTTGCAGTCCGGCATCCTCAGCTCTCAGGACAGACCCGGATGAGCAGGAAGTAATATGGGAATACCTTGACTTTCTAACAGCAACAGAGCCTTTTCTAGCTCCATCTCGGTCACTCACGCCAGAGGCTTTTGGTTCTTGTTTCTCAGTTCTGAAGAATAAGACTCATGAACCTCACAAGGTGAGTTTTAGACGAGGGTAGGTACAGTAAGAAGTTAAAGGAGAAAAAGAAGGCCAAGCTCCTGGGCATTGAAGGGGTCCTAGTAGGGCTGCACTGAGCGTCAATGTCTGGGAGTTAAAGGGGCTTTAGTGGATGAGGAAAGAGAGGAAGATGGGCTGGTCTAACCTCGGTATGGCTTCCAGGAAAGAGGCATGCCTTGGGGGGGTGGGGAGATGGAGAGCCTCTTCTTATTGTCTCCAGCTTCTGGCCACAGCAAAACTAGAGATACTTTTGGCTTAGACATTTCAAGCATCCCTAGCCTCTGGCAAGGACAAGGCTCTGGATATGCCCAAGGACATTTTTGGCTATTAGCCAAGAAAGACGTTTTTATTTGTGTGTTTTACCCAAACTGAACTGCCTAGCCAGTTTTTGCTTGTTATCAGCAGCAGGGACAGCTTGCTTACCTTTCCCACAAGTTCCCTGAGTTCTTCAGGCATTTCAATTACCTGGAGTTCATAACTCCTATCCTTAACTTGGAGCCTACCAGCAGAGCCTTGACCATGGCTTTCTTATAGTCACAACCTGGCTACAAAATACCGTGATGTTGTGCTCGCTTTGGCAGCACATATAGTAAAATTGGAACAATACAGAGACGATTAGCATGGCCCCTGCACAAGGATGACACACAAATACAAATAATAGCTGGGCATTGGTGGCCCATGCCTTTATTCCAAGACTAGGGAGGCAGAGGCAGGTGGATCTCTATGAGTTCGAGGCCACCTGGTCTACCGAGCTAGTTCCAGGACAGGCTCCAAAGCAATACTGAGAAACCAAACAAACAAAAACAAAAAAAATTATGTCATGGACCATTCTTATTACTTAAGGATTGGAGAGATTTGATGGTGACTGAAGGAGACTCCGTGGTGGGGTGATGCTATGCCTTGTCAGACCAAATAGGCCAATTTCTTTGTTGGCTAGCCTACCACACAGGGAGACGGGGGGAGGTTCCTATATGGGACTGATGGCCGGGCAGGAGTTCGTAATGTCATAACACGTCTTGAACTATAACTGAGGGTTGAACCCAGGAAGTTGGGCTTGGTAGAAAAGAGCTCTACCACTGGACTACAGCCCAAGCCCAGTTCCTTTGTTTGAGTATTCCCAAACCCAAGCAGTAACCTAGGATGCTCGGAGCTTCACAATACGAGGTCAGGAGGCTCCATTAGGACGCCAGCCATTTCCAGGTCCCCGATCCCGCATGGTCTTTCCGATGAATGCAGTAGGCGATGTCACTTCTTCCAGGGGCAGGTCTCCCGCAGGGGTTCCAGGAGAGCATCTCCGGTCCGGTGGAGAGATCTGATAGACCATGGGCTTTTTCCGGGATCACTTCAGCAGCGCGCCACGGACCTATGATAAGCAGTTTAGGGAGTCCCGGGACGAAGGGGTGGGGCCCGCGACGTCGCAGGGCGGAGGCGCGGCCGATGGGTCACGTGGCGAATCAGCCCAGTGACGGGCGGAGCTGCAAGGGTACTTAGTGTTGCGCCCCAGAGGCCAGGTGCTGCTCGGTTCGGCTCGGCGGCTGCAGGCCCAGGCTGCATCTCTGCGCTCGGTGAGTGTGCCCGGAGCTGTGGCTCCGCGACGGAAGTCACCTTGGGGAGCGGGCGGCGGTGAAAGACCCCTCGCTCGCCCAAGGCGCAGGCGCGGTTACTCTGCGGCCCTGATGCTCCGCGCCGAGAACGGTCGCGGTTTGCGAGGCGAGGATTTCTGAGCCCGGGCACTGCAGGCGAGCGGCACCGGCCGCCCGCACGCCCTTAGGGCCGGGCCTGGTGACCTCGCGCTGGTCGGCGTCCCTTCGGTGGCCTTGGCGCACTCCAAAGGAGGAGCTGGGGACTTTGGGGAGCTCTGAGGGAGGAGCCTGCAGGGAAGGGTTCGGCCCTGGCCCTCCTTTCAGCCAGCAAGCTCCGGGTCTCAGTGGTGCTCAGGGCGAGTATCGACCTGCATCTAGTGCAGGTTTGTGGCTTATTCTAAAGAATCTGCCCCGGCAACTTAACTATACAACACATAAGCTCACGCAGTGCCTGGCACCCTAAAATACCGGTCCTATTGGAAACAGGAACCTGGTAGTGGGTGGCTGGGTTGGAACCTGCACGAAGAGTTAAACCAAGAAACAGGAAGAGAAGCAAAGTGGAGTAGAGGATAGGGTGCTCGGGGCTGCACTCTCTTTTCTCTGGAGGGGGATGGCCAAGATGATGGGAATGTGGAGGGGGAGAGGAACATACTGGACAGACTCCTTCAGTCAGGGTCTTGCTGGCCCGGAAGCGATGTGGGGTCGGTTTGCACCAGCAGGGTCTTGGGCATGTGAACCAGGAGACGGTGATTTGGACTTGGTCCTCTTGGGGTCTGGAGTAAAGGTGAGCCCACCCTCATCTTGCCTCCTTCTGACCAGATTCCCTCACCTGTTGGGAAGGGAAGTAGATTGTGGGGTTCAAATGAAAGCTTAATACTTGGTGTTTCAGGAAGACCGATCCCTCTGGAAGGGTTAGGGTTGCCGAGGAGGTATGTCCATCTTCGGGCCAGATTCAGAAGGGTGGCATGCGGGAACGTTGCTGAAGGTGCTCTCACTCTCCCTCGAAGCCCTTCAGGGAAGAATTACTTCTCCTAAGTTCTGGTTATGGCGACCTAAAACTCCCAAGAGTTCCCAGAGGCATGCCAGGGCCAGGCAATCACAGCACTTGGAAGGCTGAGGCAGGAGGATCACTGTGCATTGGAAACTAGCCTGGGCTACATAATGAATCTCAGAGCAGTCTGACTATAGAGTGAGACAGCTTCACCTCCCAACCCTTTCTCCCAAAAAAGGACATGCTGGAAAAAAGGCACCCTGGAGGAAAATGACCTCTGCCCCCATAAATGCACGTGTCTCTCGGGCCTGTAGGGATGGACTGCTGGGGGCTAGAGGTGGAAGGTGGGCTCATGTTTGTGCTTCTTCAGCCCACGTGGGGGTAGGAGCACTCTGCTCCAGGTTGGGACTGCCTCGTGAAGGGGCTGACTCAGCAGTCCAGGCTGAGGCCCTCTGTGGTATGGGTGGAAACCTTTAGATGTCAGAGCCTCAGGTTGGCCAACTGACTTTTTGAAGGTCTGTTGTAAGGAAAATATTAGGCATGTGTGATGTTGAACTATAGGCAGTTGGAACTTTTGAAAAGTTAAAGAGGAAACCAGAGACTTTGAGTGTGAATGGTATGACGAGAAATGGTTGTGCTAGCAAAGGTAAGGTGTATAGAAGTCTGTGTTGTGTTTGTTTGGCTAATAGTCTATACCTTGGTCCATCATCTCAGGGTGGAGGAGCCATCTGGAGTCCTTTCGTTGCTGTAGTTTGTACTCTACCCTATGTTGAGCATTTTGTGGTAGTTCTAGGGCTGTGTAGCTCGGCTGCATGCTGGAACTGTCTGGTTTATCTGTGGTACTGAAATCCAACCCAGGGCCCTGTGCATGCTAATCATGCACTCTATTAGACTATACTGTACCCAGCCGGCTTTTGCCAGTCTCCTCCATCCCCCTCAGCTCTTTGAGTTCAAGCTCTTTGAGTTCAAGCCTTGAACTAGACAGTCCTGCCTTCTCCCTCCACATGCTAGGGTTACAGACATGAGTTGTCACTCCTGGGTTAGTCCTTAGTCTTTCTTTCTTCCTTCCTTCCTCCCTCCCTCCCTCCTTCCCTCCCTCCCTCTCCCTCTCTCCCTCCCTCCCTTCCCTCCCTTCCTCCCTTTCTTCTTAAAGAATAGGTGTCATCACTTACTGTGTAGTCCTGGCTAGCTTGGAACTGGGTATGTAGACCAGGATAGCCCAAGCATGAGGGAGTGTACAAACTCACAGAGATAAACCTGCCTCTGCCTCCCTGGTGCTGGGATTAAAAGTGTAGGGCACCAATCCCAGAAGTCCCTCCATTTTTAGCTTCGAGTCTGAACTCGTCTTTCTGTAGACCTGACCAGGCTCAGGTTTGGGGAGGTGGGTAGCTCCCCTCTGACTGGACATGTTTTATTGTGGTCAGTTTGTCTCCTAGACTTGTTTTGTCTTTCACAAGATCTTTAGCAGCTGTTCTTTCCTACTTCTGTGCTTGAAATACAATGTATCGATCTGTAAGTGTTGTTTTATGTAACTTAATTATACTATGTGTCTTGTTCACCCAGTTGGTGAGATGTGTTGATATTGATGCTGGCAGATTTAATGTTTATTTTAGTTTGTTGGAGAGGGGTAGCAGTATAAGAGGGTTTGTGTAGCCCAGCTTAAACTCACCATGTAGATGAGGATTAGTTTGAACTTCCCAAGTGCTGAGATTCAAGCTGTGCACTCATGCTCAGAAAATTTAGTCCCTTAGTCTTTTTATTTGTTTGAGACAAAGTCTTTCTGTGTAGTCCTGGCTGCCCTGTGCCCTGAAACCCCCCCCCCCCCCAGATAGGGTCTTTGGGTGGCTTTGGAAGCTGTCCTGAAATTAGCTCTTGTAGACCAGGCTGGTTTCAAACTCACAGAGATCCCTCTGCCTCTGCCTCTCGAGTGCTGGGATTAAAGGCGTGTGCCACCACCGGCCTGGCTTGCCCTAAACTTACTATGTAAATCAGGCAGGCCTTGAACTCACAGAGATCCACCTGCCTCTGCCTCCTGAGTGCTGGATTAAAGGTTCACACCACTAGACCTGGTCTTGAAATGTGTTGACCACTTGCATTTCTTTTCCTCCTACCTTTTCCTCCTTGCCCATGGTGACACAGTAAATTCTCTTGGGCAAAGCAGAAGCAGGCTAAGCTGCTGGATGTGCGCCTGCACACCTTTTGTTCTGCCAGATAACGATGATGTCCCCTCCCCTCTGTGGCCGTGTCGTCTTCTCCTCACAGATCAGGAGCGTCTGTTCCTATGTCCCAACACTAGATCTTAGCAGATCCTAACTGTCAGAGTGGTGGGTCTCAGATGGTCCCTGTACCTTCATGGCTGTGGGTAGATACTCAAGTATGTTCCTTGTCAGAGGAAACCCTTGAGTTCCCTAGTTTTGTGGTTGGTCACAAGTACCACTTGTACTAATGTTCATTTTCTTGTTGCTCACTACTTTAATCCCAGCACTCTGAGTTCAAGGCCAACCTGGTCTACATATTAAGTTCTAGGTCAACCAGGGCTATATATATAGTGACATTTTTTAAGAGTTTGGGTTTTTTGTTTTGTTTTGTTTTTTGAGATAGGATCTCTTATAGCCAGGCTAGCTTCAAACTTGATATGTAGACAAGGATGACCTTGAACTCATGTTTTATTTCTTCTGGCTATGCCTTTCAGGGGCTGAGCTTAAAGCATGTATGTATACCTCTGTGCATCTGCCTGGGTTTCTTAGGTCACAAACCTGGGCAGCTGAACTTAGCTGCAATTGGATGTAGTTTCTAAATAGTTTGTGCATGTGCATCTTTGTATGTGTGTAGTGGGGACAGAGGTTGACATTGGGCATCTTCCTAGATCACGCTCTACTTCATGAGGCAGGGCTACTTATACACAGAGCTCTCTGATTGGCTAGTCTAGCTTGCCCAGGATCTTTTTTCTCTGACTCCCAAATACTGGGATCACAAATGCAGGCCACCAAGTCCTCATAGCATTTACATGGGAATTAGGGATTCAAGCCCAGGTCCTCATGACTGCACAGCAGTACTTTCCCCACTGAACCATCTCCTCCAAGCCCTAGTTTCTAATTTTTAAAATCCAGGCAGTATGTGAGGTTGGAGGACTTTACAGTCTGTAACATGGTTAGAGCCACTTAGGTAACAATGGCGGAAAGTGACCTAGAATTTGATCTCTGGAAGGTTATTGATTCCTACTCAGGTATAGCTAGCCATTCAGGGATTGCCCATGGTCTCCTTTCATGCCTTTGTTTCCCTCGTCTGTGAAATAGAAACCTACAAGACTGGAGGGCTCTTTCCAGACTAGTATTTTATAAAAGCTGAAGGCTGAGAAGGACCTGTGGTCTGTGATCTCAACTGTTAACCTGTTTTTACTGGGCCAGTAACTCTATAGCCTGGCCAAGATTATACGACTTTCCAGCAGGCAGGGTGGGAGAGAATGGGGCTGATAAATGCCAAGTTAGTGTCCACAGAAAGTTAGAGAACACATAGATAATCTGCTCTCACAGCAGAGCTGGCTGCCCTCTGACCCTTTGACCCTCTGATCTGGCCCAGGCAGGAGGTGCTCATTCATAGGAGTCACATGTCCTTCCAGCTTGCCTAAGGCATATGGTGCTGGCCTGCTTGTGCCATGAAAAACCATGTTGGGCTGGGTGGTGGCAGCACACACCTTTAATCACAGCACTTGGGAGGCAGGGATCTCTGTGAGTTCGAGATCAGTCTGGTCTACTAGTTCCAGGACAGGCTCCAAAAGCTACACAGAATAACCCTATTTTAAAACAAAACAAAAACAGAAAACAGAAAAACAAAACAACAACAAAACCCAAAACCATACCGGGATTCAAACAGCCTGACACTCATTCTCAACTTATTGATCCCCTCTGGGTTTGGGCTGTACTTTGCTTTGATAATCAAATAGTAGAATATACATCAGCATATAAGGACCTATTACAAATTGTATGATGGT